CAGCGGATGCGCGACCGGGCTCATAACTATGGCGCTGCAAAAGCGGACCGCAATTGCCAGCGTGCAATTGCGACTTATAACCCTTAAACTGCCACAAGAAGCGTTTATATAATTCGTAGAATTAGGCCGTAAAAGGTAGTTATAGGGCTATATAACTAATTTATTAAAGCTTAAGAAAAGAATAATTAATTATAAAGGAATAACTACCTTTTATACCCATAAAATTAATTATAAAAGAATATTTTGGAATATATTACTAATAACTAGATTATAAATTAAATTAATTAGTAATAAGGTTGATTTATAATCGAAAAAACCATAAGATTTTATAAATTTCTACGGTATAGGTTACCTTGTAACCTTAGGACTACTATGGCTAGGTGCACTGGCCACACTTAGTGGGATTTAATTTAGTGGAACGTTCTATTGGATTCCAGTGGGTTCCAGTGGCTATAATGGCCACAATAATTAATTATAATGACTTATTAACTATATAGCATTATAAACAGTGGCTATAAGTGGTGCTGTACTAATTATAAGTTAGTATAGGGTAAGTTCCACTGATTTCCTATATATCGTTATTTAACGATATCTCGATGGGTTTTATAGCTATTATAACGATACGATATGCGTTATAAAGCTAATTTTATGCACTATACGATGCTGTATTAACATCCGTGCAACATTAAATTAAATAAGGCATTTATAAAAAAGCTACGCAATTAAAAACGCGATTATATATAAATCACCGCCGATAACGAGGTTAAAATCCATTAAGGCCCGCTACGCTAGCTTTAGCTAAGTGACGTAAATATTTATATTTTACGGAAGGCATTAGATTTATTAATCCTTTAACACTAAACAGCCTTTAGCTAGCTATTAACACTTTTACGACCCTTTCCGCCGCTATTAACACTTTATTCGGGTGTATTTACGGCGCAGCACAATTTACTTTATAATTATACCTTATTTAGCTATATTAAACCGAAAAAAGATAAGCCTAAAATTTAAGCAATAAAATTAAAGGAAATTAATAAATATTAGCATATAAGCTTTAACCTAATAAATAATAAGATTTTAACTACACATTATATATATTAATTAAGCATATTATAATTCGATAAAAAACCGGATTTTTAAATAATCGAGCCTAGGCAAGCTAAGCCCCGAAAACGGCCTAAAATTAATGCTATTATTATCTTAAATGCCCTTTATATTTAAATAATTATTAAATCGAAAGCTAGCGGGGGAGGAAGCAAAACGGTCTTGCACCTAAACGTCCGCAGATTTTTATCGCAATAGGAAGCTATAAATTTTACGGGCGACGACGACAAAAAAGAGGACGATATCCCTGCTAAACCGGTGACACCCTTAAAAAAGCTAGCGGCTATTAAAAAAGCACCTGCCGTAATAGCATTAAAGGCTAAATCATTTAACACAGCTTTACGCACTAACACACTAATTTTATTAACGGCCCTTTTAGCTAGCTAGCAGGCTTTACGCGATACCGTCGCTAATGCCGGTGCCGGTGCCGGTGCCGGTGCTACTGCTGCACCTATTATTATTAATAACGATAACTTCTCGGATAACCCTTTTATAAATAATAATTAAATAATTAACGCACGGGCTATTTCCCATATAATTTGTGTTTTTTTGCAAATTCATCGGATTTAAACGATTTAGGCTAAATTTAAATTTATAATTATTATATAATCGGTAGTGCTAAAGTTAATGCTATAATTAATTATAGCGGGAAAATTAGTGGGGCTAATGCCCCGATAGCTGAGGGGGTAATGCCCTGTTAGCATTACTCTTTCATATGCCGTTAGCCCGTACCTAACCTAGACGAGTTGACGAGATGGATCATGGATGCTTTGTTTGATCAGTGGCCACCCACCTGTTGGCCAACTTTGAACGGACGGATCGTAAGAAAAGCACGGCAAGCCGGAAGGATTCGCTTTCACACAAAAATCCCTTTGCCCAGTCAATGTTTTTTTTTTCCAACACGCAGGCAGGCAAAGGCAAGAAAGACATGGACACTCACACACGACACGGGGTGGCGTTGGTTGGGGCCAAGTACTATTCGAGTGCTAGAGCCTAGAGGCCAAAGCTTTTCAGGGGTTCCCCCCTGGGGTGATCATGGCCCTATTTGCCCACTATTGCTTGGCGGAACCCCTGCTGTTTCCTCTTTGGCTTCCCCATCCTAGCCCATTGCCCCAAGGACAGACGTCAGCGCTGCAACGATATATTCCAGAAGCGAAACGCCAAGTGTTCAATTCGTTTTTCTTTCTTGTGGTGGTTTCCCGCTGAAAGACGTGTTTCGTTTGGAATTATGCTCAGCAATGCCTCCATCTAGTGCCGTGTCTGTTGACGATGTTTTCTCTATGGGCGGAAAGCGGAAGACGTGCCGAGTCTCTCTTTGTCCACGGGGTCCAGACCTCGGGAGACAATTTCTCAGAGGTTAAAAAACACTTTTTCCTGGGCGCGTTTGAATGGGTGGGTGAATACAAGTGTGGTATTTTCGGACACGAAGAGCTACACAGTACGGGCTGGCTGATATAGCTGGGTGCTGGATGCTGGCTGGATGCTAGGATGCTGGGGATTTACCGTTTGTGTACCTACATGGACTAAAGTATGCAGTCCCCATGTAACGTCGTTCAGATGGGCCAATCGGCACGTCGAATCGAGCGCTGTTAGTCCTAGATTCGTCTTTAGTCACACACCTTTTAGAATTGACTGACTTGATCCAGCGCGAGCCAGCACCAGACACACCAGCACAAAACACTTCGAGAGGAATCCAGGTTCGTTCCCACCTATACGGACCCCAAAGGTGGGAAGAGAGAGAGACCTTAGAGTGTGTGTGTCTGTATGTGCGCGTTTTCTGTATGCTTCTTCGGTTCCTTGTTTGAGCGAGTAAGTAAGTGCAACCAATGATAGAGCCAACAAGTGACATACCAGTCAGGAGCAGCAACAAATGGCCAATCAATCACGTCAGGAATCTCTTACTGTCCATCCGCCGTTGTTTCTAAAATTCTTTGCACTGTCGACACCCAATTCTCCTTCCATGCTGCTACTGCTGCTGCTGCTTCCATCCTCGGGTTCTTCATAAACATAAACTGCCTAATACTTCTTTTGTGATTTTGTTTCGCCCACAACAACATCACTTCCCGTTCGAGCAACACTTCGTTCGCTTACTCGACGTCCTTTGCTTCATTCTTTCTACTACTCCTCTCTTTCTTCATTCTAAACCTTGTCTACCAAAAACCTAGAGACAGCATAGTAGCACTGCTGACGTTCGCTTTCTTCCCTTTATCAACTACCATAATACCTTTCGTGGCTCCATTGATTCGTTTGCTTGCCAAGCATTTTTTTCATCCATTGTAGCATAAAACCAACATTTGCTCTCAGCCTTTCTCCCTTGGTTGATTGGTCTCGGGACTTGACGACCAGAAATCACGAATATCAGTCACAATGTACACCACACTCTCGCTCTTGACCATGGCTGCCACCGTCTCGGCAGCCGTTCAGGGCTTCAACTATGGTTCTACCTTTACCGACTCGTCTGCCAAGCAAGAGAAGGACTTTGAGAATGAGTTCACCACAGCACAAGGTCTAGTTGGTGCTTCAGGCTTCACCAGCGCTCGACTTTACACCATGGTGGTACGTAGCTTACCCATCAGCCTCAATGCACAAAATACCGAAACAAACATGTTGACATTTCCGTCATCGTCTTTACAAAACTACGCTCCGTAATCCGTATACTAATTACTTGGCTAAATAGCAAGCTGGCACTGCCAACGATCCCATCTCAGCCATCCAGGCCGCCATCAACACCAAGACGTCGCTGTTGCTGGGTCTCTGGGCTTCGGGTGGTGAGACGGCGTTCCAGAGCGAATTAACTGCCTTGACCCGTGCTATCGAACAGTACGGAACCGCCTTTACCAGCATTGTCGATGGAATTTCTGTCGGAAGTGAGGATCTCTACCGCAACAGCCCTCAGGGTATTGCTGCCGGTTCATATGTTGGTGCCGACCCTGACACCATTGTCGACTACATCAACCAGGTCCGCGACGCCATCAAGGACACCAGCCTCTCTGGTGCTCAGATTGGCCATGTTGATACCTGGACCGCCTGGGTGAACGGCTCCAACAGCGCGGTCTCGGATGCTGTAGACTGGGTTGGCGTTGATGCGTACCCATACTTTCAAGACACCATGGTCAACGATATTGGCCAGGGCGGCTCGCTTTTTGACTCGGCAGTGGGTCAGACAAAGAGTGCTGTGGGCGGCAAGCCTGTTTGGGTAACCGAGACTGGATGGCCTGTTAGTGGCAAGACCGCTGGTCAAGCCGAGCCGTCCCTCGAGAACGCCAAGGCCTATTGGGACGATGTTGGCTGCCAGAAGCTATTTGGCAAGGTCAACACCTGGTGGTACACTCTCCAAGATGCCGCTCCCACGGAGCCCAACCCATCTTTCGGTATTGTCGGCTCGACTCTGGGCACCACTCCTCTGTACGACCTTAGCTGTGATAACATCACCTCGCCCTCGTCTTCCTCGTCTTCGGAAGTCTCGTCAAAGACGGTTTCTGGAACTGCAGGCTCGTCTGCCACCGGCTCGTCTGATTCACAGCCAACCGACTCTGCTGGAGGAGACACCTCGGGATCACCTGGCGCTGGTGGAATTCAGAGCTCTCAAATCTCTATTGAAGCTTCAGCTACTGGAACCAACTCTGGCTCTTCCCCCGAGGCCACTTCTTCTGGATCTGGCACCGGATCTGGCTCTTCTGGTTCCAGCTCGGGCTCGGGCTCGGGAGCTGGAACGGGATCTGGATCTGGTGGTAATGGCACCACGCCCAACTCTGGCAGCTCGTCCACAAGCACTAGTGTTCCGATTAGTTCCGGGTCTAGCTTGGAGTCGTTCGGTGCTGCCTTTGTCGCCATCTTGATGACAATCATGGCTCTATGAGTGAGGTGACCAGTAGAACACGTGCAGACCCTCCTCTATTAGATTAGGCTGAGTCAAGCTGAGACCCATGGCACGGATTTGGCGTTTCAATGACCAGGAAATGGAAAAGAAAATTGATATTCTCATGTACATAAGTCTTTGAACAAACAATAGACCTTTGTATTGATGCAAGTACATTTCGCTAGTCGTGTGACATGCTCAATAACGAGATGGCCATTACCAAGACCTACGCAAATTCCTCGTTTTCTCCCAAATGGATAGCAGGCTGCCTCGCGGCAAGTAGAGTCTCTAACCTACAAGGAGGGGGGTATCATTACACAAAGCCTCTAATCCCTCTGATGCCACTGGCCTTTTTCTTGTCCTTGTCCTTCTTTTCCTTTCTGATGACGTTTTGGTTTTGTAGACCACCTGCATAGCGAGAAAAAAGAAAACATTTGATTAGAGGGAGCTTCTCGATCCAGTGAGTTGCTTTGTTGGCTTACCTCTGCCATGATATCGCTCCACGATGGGGATCGGCGGAGCCTTTCCTCCAGTTCCAGGCCCCGTTCCCGTTGATCCTGATGTCTCGGTACCTGATGGTGTGGATGGTCGGAATGGCGACGACGACGTTGCGAGAGCTTCAACATGACCTCCTAACGGGGGTGTTTGGTTGTAAGATGTCCTGGTGGCATCAAAAGTTTCGGGGTCAGAGAAGCCCCGGAGTTGTCGGTTGCGGCTGCTGAAGAAGCTGCTCGGGCTGCCGCCATTCTCGGCTGGCGTGTCGGAATCCGGAGAGCGCGATAGCAATGGATTGGACAGAGTGCGCACCAGAGGCTGTGATTGCAAGTCGAGTATGGCAGCGTTGAGAGCCGTGTTCCTCTTTGTTAGCTCCGCTACTCTCTTGTTCAACTCTGCCTGTTGGCTTCTGCTCGCGGCCAAGACACTTTCTATGTGCCCTTTGAGGTTCTCGGCCCGGCGTTCGGAGCCGTTTTGCAAAGCCTCTTGAAGTTTGGCGTTGAGCACCGCAATCTGCGATTGATAGAGATCTCGTGTCTGCTGAAACTCAATGTCTTGTGCGTCTAGCTTCTTTTGCAGAATCTCAGCTCGTCCATCTGCAGCAGCGGCGCGCGTCATGGCGGCTTGACGTTGGGCCTCTTGGGACTGAAGATTACGCTCGGATTCTGCTAATCGCTTTACTTCCCTCTTGAGTCGTTCCATCTCTTCTGTGCTTGCTTCAATGTACTCAATCTGCTGCTTCAGGTTGTTTTCCTTCACCTCGACATCACACATGAGCTTGACGAGAGCGTTCGTTTCGGCCTTTGCCTTGGCTAGGTCTTCCCTAAGGGTCTCGCCTTCGGCAAGCCATTTCTTCTGCTCTTCACGAATGTTCCTGAGCTTGGAAGAAAGATCCGCCTCCCACTTCTTTGCAAGATTGCGACTCTTTTCAGAATCCTTCTTGACTTGTGTCTCAATTTTCTTGGCTTCCTCTAGACGCTTTTTCAAATGTCTGTTTGCCATGATGAGATTCTGGGTTTCGGCTTCAGAAGCTGCTTCTCTGACTTGCTTGCGCCGCAATTCACCCATGTGCGTCAGATGCTGCTGCTTCATGAACCTCTCAAATGTCAAATCATTGTGCAGCAGCAAAATTTGGCGGTAGAGATGGTTGATTTGAGCATCCTTATCTTCGAGTGTAGACGAAGTAGTCATATTTGTTGTAGCCTGAACTGGCTTGGCTGCTGAAGGTAGACCATCTGGAATGGATTCCTGGTGGCTCAGGGCCAGAGACGGCACACTGTCATTCCCAAGCGACTGATTTAAGCTGGACTTGATCGCTTTATTAGAGTTGAGCATGTCCTGCAGGTTTGTGCTTGAGCCGACAGGAGGCAGCGTAGGACTGTCACTTGCTTTCCCTGAAGGCCTGGTGCTCGACGAGTCTCGAAACGACTGTCGACTGCTCTGTGAAGAATGCTGGAAAATGGCAGACTGAACTCTACTACTGCTTGGAGATTCAACAGGTATAGTCTGAGTGCTGCGCCAACTTTCGCCTTGGGGTGACTGGAAGGGCAAACTTGACATTGGATTCGATCTACTCAGCAAAGCAGCCTCAGGAGTATCCTTGTCAGCGTCAGCTCTGATGGACAGCTCATGCTGCTCGACACCATTGATATGGGGAATCACCAGGTCGGGACCCGACTCGAATGGTTGCCTCAAAGCCATGCAGTCTGCCACCACCTCAGCGGGTTCGCTCTTGATCCATCTGCCAAAGTCGGTTTTTTCCGAGTCGATAGTGAGGGTATAGAAGTTCTCATGGAGCACATGACATCGTCGAAACTGTTCTGAAGCATGCCGAATTTCCGTAGGTTGTACTTCAATGTCGTCCGAGTTGAAGACCTCAGCATGGCGTAAATATCGTTGTGGTTTGCGTATATAGTCCATAAAGTTGATCGGATAGAGACCGTATAGGATCGTGAAGTAGTTCAAAAGCTGTGGGATAGCAGTCTCGTCAAACCCTGGGCTGTACGATATCTTCTCCCATGATGCGTCGAATGAAGACAACCGTCTGTCCATGGTTAGGTCGAGGCCAAACTCTGTCGCAGAAAGTTCTCGTTCCCAGAACAAGAGCCGCGCATATATATTAAACAGCGTAGGCAAATGTGGCACAAGAGAACTCGGTAGATGAGGCAGTACCATGGTCAGGACGGTCAGCGCCAGTGAGATCATTGTGGTTGATGTGTCGATCTGAAGACAACTCATCAGGTTGCCGAATAGCGGTGTCTGCAGGATCAAATAGAGATGGGGAGGGCGATTCCTGATGAAGTCTGACAGGAGATGCAATGTCCTGGCACGATATTCTTTCCTGGCCATGAATTTTCCGACTATCGTCATAAAGTCTCTGGGCCGCTTTTTGCCATACAGAATCAGCGTCTCGCGAACCTGCTTTTCGCGAAAGTTTCCCAGTGCGTCTTCAGCTCGACCGGCAACCTCGCATCCTTCTAACCATAACTCGAGCATCTTCTCCGCAAGAGGTACGGCCGCACCGCCTCCTGGATTACCGGTATCATCGCCCCAGTCGGCCGTGAGAATATCCAGAACGGTCGCTTGCCCTTCTTCGGCCAAGTCTTTCTCTTGGCTCATATGCTCCAGACATGGCTGTAGAAGCTCCCACCACTTTATTGTTCTTTCGGGATGGGCAAGCAATGGCCTGAGGCGGCGGATGATGTTGAGAAAGGGACCATAGCGAGAAGGATGTCCAAGCACGTCATTTTCGTAGACAGAGATCAACTCCTCGTGGATTTTTTGCGACACATTTTCTTCATCCGACTCGTGCTTTTGCACATAGCCTTCAATGACCTCGATCAGTTCCTGGGGTAGGGGTAGGGTCGCATTCGGAAGGAAATTGTTCAAAGCTTTCGTGAGCTCCTTGAAGGACCTAGAGAGTTCGGATGATGTCAGTTGAGTAAGGGCAAGAGAGAATCAAAAGAGGGAATTTACATACGGGGCTGACGCCATGCTTGCTACATTGGGACCGGAGCCGCAGGTCTTTACGCAGGCCCAGCCTCTCTCTGTGCAAGGTTCGTGTCTGAAGCAAAATTGTACGGTGCCAGCGGCTCGAATATTACACAAAGTTTTGGTGTCGCAGAGGCTCTGGCTGGCATCGCATGGATGTTCTACCTAACCGTACCGTTTTGGCTGACGAGGGTCTCGATTTGTGGCCCGGGCGTTGAAATTCAGGCATTGGTGAATTAGATAAGAGCAAAAGTGGGGTCGGGTCTAGCGGATAATGGCGGGCCCTGCTAGGCTCAGCTGCAGTCTGATGTCGCAAGTTTGCAACGGCAGATGCCTTCCATCAGCGCACAGTCATACGACCAGTACCTCGACAGAGTCGTACGGAAGAAATCGGTTGAGGAAACCCCTTGAAAGTCTCCAGTATAGCGGGCCAGTGGTCCGTTGTACAAACCATCACCAATTTCATCAATTTCGCGATGGGGTGCCGAATCTCTTGGACGAAGTAACGGGAACTTGTGAGGGGAAAGCCGCGATACTGTGCTCATGTGCTCTTTTACTTTGAAAGCTGTCACTGTACGCATGCAAAATCGTACAGTAGAGCCAAAGAGAGACCCACTTGGTGAAGATCACCCCGCATTCTCAAAGTACCAGGGAGCGATCCCCGGATTTCAGAGGTGGGGCGCACGGCTAGGCGCAGACAGCAGGCCCCCCATAGCTTCCCTTGCCTTGTACACAGGGACCTAATAGCTGTTCAAGTGCCTGGTAGCCCTGAATCGTATGAGCAGAATACTCGTCCTATTAGCCCCGTTTGACAGTGGGGCATTGGGGAGGTCTTTGTAACTCTCCATGCTGCGACATGACGGAAGGGACATCGCAAGATCAACGGGCGACTGCCAGCCCAACCAGCATTTGGCAGCACGCGTGACCTTGAACTCTTTGAGGGCCCTAACCACAGCACTGAGAGGTGGCAGCAGTCCAATGAGGAGACCCTGATGCAAGCTGATCACTCAATTGACCTTGACCCCTCCTTCTTGCTGTCCTTCTTAACCTCGACGACAGCTTGCTTGTTTCGTAAACTCCTTCTTCTCTTTTTCCTTCCTTTCTTCATCCCAAAGAAACCACACCAAACGATACCCCATCAATCTCCAATCTTCATACAAACCTTTCCCTCTCTCTCCATCTCCATCATATCTGTTCCCCCGTGTAAAACACTCATAGGCATTGCTCTTGGAACGAGATACATTAACCCAAATCGTATTTCCATCCTGTCTTGACCACCATTGTAATAACTCTGTCGATCCACACTTTTTTGTCTGTACTACCATAACCAACCCCTCTCCAATTCACAATCATGGCAACCACCAAGAATTCTGCAGTGTCTGAGGACCCGGTCGATGTCCTCATTGTCCTGCATAACAAGTTCGACCTTCTTGACTTTGCTGCCGTTGTCAAGGTTCTGACTTCTGCTCTCCACGACAAGAATGACACTGGTAAGTCGTTGATATACTCCTGCATACAGTTCACGGATAGTACGAAATTGGCTGGAAGCTAATAGCTTCTCCTGAAATCTAGCTACCAAGGCCTTCGAGATCACTACTGTTGGTGCCGAAGCCAAGGTTCTCTCTTCTCAGGGCGTTCTTGTTGGTCCCAACCTCTCGTTCAAGGACGCCTACGAGCAACTCGACACCTACGATGTCCTTGTTATCCTTGGCGGTGATTATGACACCGTTCTCAAGAACAAGGCTGAACCCCTTCCAATCATCAAGGCCTACAGTGACCTCCAGATGAAAGACAACCTCCGAGAGCGTACTCTCTTGTCCGTCTGCTCTGGATCCATCTTCCTTGCTGAGCAAGGTATCCTCTCGGGCCTAGCAGCCACGACCCACCCAGACTACATGACCGCCTTCGAGAACACTTGCAGTCACTCCTCCGTCCGCGATGGTACGGACAGATGTGATGTCGATGAGATTGCTCGCTATGTAGTCAACAACCTCCGCTTCGATCTTGGTGACGAAGATGAGAACCCCTACATTCGCCGCAAGTCAGATGCAGGCCAGCAACGAAGTGGCCCTGGCGCCCGGTACGTCATCCCCTGTTACACTACCAATCCTATACATCTATGGGGATATGGCTAATATAAAATTCGTTGCAGAAAGGGAAGCATCTCCTTCAAGGGCATGTCTCGCCGCGAGTCGGTGGCTCGTCGCGCAGCCATGAGACTCGGTGGCCTGCGTGTTATTACAAGTGGGGGTTCGACTGCTGGCATTGATGCAACTTTGTATCTTGTCAGCATTCTCGTTGACGAAGATGCTGCCAATGAGGTGGCTCGCTCTCTGCAGCACAACTGGGTCAAGGGTACCGTCGTTGATGGTCTCGACGTTTAGACGGATAGAGAAAAGCAATCGGATTGAGCGTAGAAACCAAGGGATATAAGGGTATATCTCGCGCCATCCAGGCATTAGAAATGCCGACCGAAATAGGTCATGATTAGCTCCCAGCTCGCACAATGAAAGTAAAACAATGTAAAAGTACAAAACTGGTGCACACCAATTGCAAATGTGACATTGTAAATAATGTTTTGGCGCTGGTTTCCAAACATGCAAATAGTGTCATTGAATACATGTTTCGTGTAAATCAATTCCGTGTGAATTAATCCAAACTCGAGCTTTGAGAGAGCTTCTATCCAGATCCGTAAATACTGACGGGCAATGCCGAGCCAAATGATTGGGCCCACAAATGGTGGAACCCGAGTCATGCCAATTGAATGTGGAACCCTTGCCGGATTTTCAGCCGCCGCGACTCCGAAAGTTGCTGTAGGTCGCAACGGGATTGGCAAGATTCGAGCCTCAAGCTGGGAGGAAAACCATTTTGGGCGAATTGAGCGACAGCCACTGTTCCAATACCAGACAAAATGGCTTCGGCAGCAGCCAAGACGTTCCGCACGGGAACAAAGCAGGTTTTCCTGTAAGTGCGCCACGATGCAGCTGCATCTTCATGCAACAACGGCCGACCAAACTGACACAACCTGCTCTGCTCCCAGGCCCGACCATATAGTAACACTTTGCCGACCGCAACGGCCTCAACCGCCGCAGTTTGCAACGTTCCAAGTGCCTTTGACCTTCAATAAGCTCGACATCCGCGACTACCTCCTGCATGCCTACAAGATTAAGACCCTCGGCGTGCGGTCACACCTGGCACAGCGCCCTCCCCGACTGTCAGCATACACGGGGCGCATCGGACGGCCGCCGCCTATCAAGTACATGACGGTCGAGCTGGAGAAGCCGTTTGTGTTCCCAGCCGAGCCCGCCGAGGAGGAGCACAAGAAGTGGCACACGGAGGAGATGCAAAAGCGCGTCGACATGGAGAAAGAGTACGCCGACCGCGCCCGCTCCTATCGCGAGAAGGGCACCCTCATCTCGCCCACCATGCGCCGCCGTGACGAGGACCGCAACATGCTCGCCAAGCAGGCTCAGGACCTGCTCGAGGGCAAGGTCAAGTGGGGCAATGAGAGGACGCTCGACCCGAGGTGGCAGAACAGTCAGGACCAGTCGTGAGGAGGCATATTACTGCTTTAAACCCGGCATAGGCAGTTACGGGAGGGGAAATGTAAAGCACAAATCCCCAATTGTGCCCGGTGCGATGACATACAGGTGTATAAAAAGAAGAGCACCAAATCAGGCGTTTTGTTTCATTGAGGCGGTGGGATATTCCGATGTACGATCAAGTGTGCCACAAGTGTATAAAGATCTGGTCATGGCAGGCAAAGCAGAAAAGAAAGTCATTTTGAATGTGATTATCAAAGAGAAGATCCAAAATCACACATCATATTTCTGTATTCTTCCACATGGGTACAGTCCAAATCGACCTCTACGCTACACAAAGCATTGACACACATCGTATTGTCTTTTGTCGAGCTGTTATTTGTCAAAGCTACGGTCTCGCGAAGATCATCAATAAGTTACCTCCGTTATGCTGTCCGAAATTAATTTTATTGCCCCAAATAGATGCAAAAATCATTACGATGAGTTCGCAAAATGTATCTGGCCCAAAGACATGGCATAGTGCGAAAAAGCACCCTGACAATAACCTCGTGGGTAATACCTGTGTTTCTAAATTTCTTATTTGATTATGATTTATTCCTTTTGCTGCGAATATACATTTCACTATTGCGTATTTTCGCAGGTTCGTTCCAGTCAGTAAATCAGACGTGATATGCAGGTTTCACACCAGCTTCATCACAGTAAATTACCAGACTTTATTGAAGACCTCCCAATCCACTCCTTCCAAGTGCTAGTAGCGTGGCATTATCAGAGATTGAGTTGGTCCTCCATCACAAACAGCAACTAAGCTCGGCACGGTCCTTGGTGATTCTCGCCTAAACTCGTCAAGGAACATGGAAGCAAAATTTGGCATGGCATGACACGATCCCTCTTCCTTCCCCGCGGTTCATCACTCTCAATAAGCACATATGACCGCTGGGCTGGTTATTCCCATTGAGAAAAGCGTCAATTTAAGTTGCCATGTGGTGCTTGTTGGACTGTTTTCTCCGCCATCCATCATAATTCGTCGGTAGCAACCCAAATGAATGGATGCTTTTAGACACGGACGACTGATGATACGGTCATATTTCTTCTCCACTTCCAATATCCAGAGAATCGATCTTGCTGATTCATAGGACGCACGCAACGATAAAGCTTGAGCCGTAATTGCTGTCGGAAATTACGGGAATTAGCCGATTGGTCTTATTCTCAATGCGATTCTCTCTATCCTCCTTCGTGGCAGTCACAGCACAAACGTCGGTAATAACCAACGCAGCCATGTTATATTTCACCCACTGGTCCCGCAAGAGCTCAGGCGATGCATGTGTAAAGTCAATCCATAGTCGCCTGAACGCCTTCCCCGCAGCAGTCTATCTACTTAAAAAGAACAATTGGTCACTACCTGCATCTAAAATATCGTGGTCTCAATCTGAGCTAGAATGAGAGTTTAGGAATAATGCCAAGGTGGTAGACTAGCTACCTAGTCGCTGCTTATAGAAAGTATAACAGTACTCGAGAGCTCAATGGCGTGACAAGCTTGGATGATTCTTTCACTCTGCGCCGTAAATACTTACAGCTGATGGATTTAAATGGATATACGATCTGAAAGGTTACAGGGTAACTAGGCCTGGATCGCTTCTCGCTCACTTAGTCAAAGATCCAACACTATAGCTTTCCAGCCGATCTTGATCCAAAGACTTCAAACTATTTCTGCAACAAGCAAAAGCAGCCTCAGTGGTAACTCGGCGCCAATCGATATAAATTCTATTTTGTTACCAAGCACCTTTGGTCCCTGTTAAGGTGAGTTAACAAAACAAAAACTTATTAGCATACCCATCTACGCAAGCCAAAATAGTGTGCATATCTCTCCTCACAATGCCAAGATCTATATGTTGAAACACTTGGAAGCCGGATATACGCTCGATATTCACTCGTCAATAGAGGAACCCATGAAGAGGACTGATCATTCCAGATGACCCGAAAGTTACTCCAACTAACGCTTTGCCCATTGATCCAAAGCTACAACAACATCAATCTTGCATGAATCTTGCCGAAAGCCGGTCACATGACGCAACTTGGAGTCGTGGTGTCTTTGATAATCTGGAACCTTGGAAACTAGAAAATATCAATAGGGGTATAAGTGGGGAGAAAATATATTCCCGGATGCCCAGACTGCTGATTCCACACCACAGGACGGACTTGCAAGATTTATCCGTGTCATCCGAATTTTGGCTCACGATAATCTACTGACTGCTTCACTGAGCCATTTTCAGAGACTTCCTCGGATTTCGTTCCCAACAAGAAGCTAGCCATCCAGAAACAGCAGTTTTCGCATGGGATGTGAAGCCATATAGGTCTACAACGGTCCGATATACACAATGCATATCGAAACGGTGTATAATCAATTAATTTGTCCTCTTTTTACCATCATTTAGGCCATGTATCGAATTGTATAGACCAATCCCGCTAAATCGTGGCAGTAACAAAGTTAGATTAGTAGCATGATGTCTACGAAAATAGTGACCATCACTGCTGGATGCAATGATGACTTACACTATGGCCGTGGCTATCTCCAGGTAGTCTATATCTATATAAGTGGCCATGTTCTCCGCCAAGATCGTTGTCCTCTCGTGATTCTTCAAACATCTCAACCGACAGATACTACTTCTTAAGACAGTTTGCATAGTCGACACAGCCCTCCCGCCTTGTTATCATGGCTCCCACTGCAATGTATCTCTCTGAGGATATCTCAGATCAGATTTCTTCCAAGAAAATGGGTCTGGATAAGTCCCACATGTTTGACTTGAACCACAAAGGTTCTACGCCCGAGGTCAGCCTCCACGACCTGGCCGTCCAGGCTCCTGTCCAGTCACGCGGAGGCTCTACCACTCTTGAGTCTAATGGTCTTAAATCATTGCATGGTTTTGGGCTAGGATCCAAGAAATATGAGCTTCATACGTCCAGCTCGATGGGCTCTCTGAGTGGGTCAGCCGCTGGACGCCACAAGATCAGTGGTGTGTCTAGCGCCCTGGCCATGGACTCCCAACGCATCGAGTTCTCGGAGGAGCTCTCGGCCAGGGAGAAAAGCCTGTTCATGGAGACGGTCGAGGCCATGGAACAACTCGCTCACCAGAGTAGTTCAATGAAAAGCCTATTCGCCACCATGGTAAGTTACTCTCTTGTATCCTGAAATCGATCATACCTTCGAAGATGCGTCAAACCTCTCATGTTCTGTCCTTGCATCATAACATAAGGACTAAAATTCACAATTCAGCTGCACTCTTTTTGCTGACTTGATATTCTGACAGACAGCGGAGCGGAGGGACATTGTGGTTACTCTGAAGCAGTACTACGCTAGGCTCGACAGATTGACCCTGCTCATTCAGGAATTGGAGGAAAAGCAGAAGAAGCTGAAGCGTGAAAACGAATCAGGTAAAACTAGCATGTTGAAGCTCACCTTTAAGCTGAAGGAGGCAGAGACCAGTATCGATACGTACAAGGACAAAGTTCGAGAGCGTGAGGGCACAATCAGCAAGTTTCAGATTGAACTTGAGAAGACCCAGAATGAGATTGATGAGATCCGCAAAACGCATACCATGAAAGAAGCCGAATGGACAAGGACTCAGGGAACAATCGAGGCCGTCGAGCGAGAGAGAGACATTGCCCAAGAAATCATAATTGACCTCAGAGCGCAACTCGACAAGTACAAGGAAAACGAGTCCAAGATGCAACAGAGCAATCTTGTGGTCACTGAGAAGAACGAAATCCTGAGAAGGGAGCTCGATCTTGTCAGGGGACAGCTTACTACCTCGGAACGCATGAGTGATGAGTTAGCCCACATGAAGCGTGGCTTGGAAGATGAGAACCGCACCAAGCAGAGCAGGATCAAGGATCTCGAGACCAAGCTGGAAGAGGCCAATGAGCAGTACGAACAAATTATGGAGTCATACAATGAGGTTCAGAGCGTCAATGTGACGCTCAAGAGCCAGAATTCGATCCTCGAGCAAAAGGTTAGGTACTTGAAGCAGGCTCTGCAAGACACCAATAATAAGCTCGAGGAGGCTCAGCGCAAGGCCGAGAATGCTTCCAACACGGTAGAACATCTTACCAGCAAGCTCGCAATGGCGCAAAAGGAGTGCGAGGCCCTCCGGGTCGAAATCACCAAGATGTCGGAGAAGGTCTCGAAGAAGCAGGAAGAGCTTCGCATCGCCATTAATGAAAAGGAGCGCATCCTGCAGGAATACCGCCGCGAGATGGTCAAGTCCGAGGAAAGCAACCGCAAGGTCGCTGCTCTGGAAGAATCTCTGCGCCGCGCCGAGTCGTCGCTCAAGGAGAAGACGCAGCTGCACTATACCCTCACGGAGCGTATCGGAAAAATGGAGCGCGAGCTCAACGACGCGGTGAGCAAGTACGGCAGCCTAGCCTCGGAGAACAAGAAGCTTGAGGCGCAGGCGTCGTCGCTGCAGGCGCAGATCATCGAGGTCACGACCCGGTACGAGAACGCCAGCGAGAAGCTGCGCGAGTCGGAAGGGAACGACGAGGACTTGACCGAGAAGCTGCGCGAGGCCTACGCCGACCACGCCGAGCTCGAGAGGCAGAATGCCGAGCTGCGCCGCCTGCTCAACAATACCCGCGAGCAAATGGACTCGGCTATTTCCTCGCGTGTCGTGGCCGACCAAGAGCGTGACCAGGCCATCACCCGCTACGAGGAGAAGGGGAGGGAGATGCAGAAGACTCTGGAGGAGCGCCAAGAGGCGGCATCTCGCCACTTTCATAGCAATGGGCACTCTTCCGATGTTCATCACGCGGTAACTCAGAGTTTCAGCAACGGAAGCGTCAAAAAGAAGGGCAAGAAGCACACCACGCTTGGAACTTGTTTTTGACAATTTAAAGTAAGCCGACGTACATTGTGACTATGACCCACAGAGGGTTGAATAATTAGGAAGAAACCTTGGCCACTCATTTAGGAGATGATATCAAATGTAAATGGCTACCTGAAAAGAATTATACTGTAGTGATTCTGTCAAAGATGAAATCACCAATGCCTTACCCCAGTGAATGTGCCATAACTTTCATATGATGCACCGTTGATCCAGTCTTGCCACGAGCAAGAGCTCGCCCTTATCTGAGCCACAGGCCGGGCCTCATGAACTCGGCCGATAAGCAGATTCGCTGCATGCTCTCCAACTTTGAAAATCCAGAGCGTCTGAGGACATGAAGCCCGAGCCGCGAAACAGTCTCAGTCTTTGATACCAGCAACGCCCAAGAACTGCTGAGTCGTCTTTTGACCTTTCAAGTCTTCTCAGAGATCATGATGGTAAGAACGCCTGTCATGCCTGGAGCAGAATCACAAAACGATTCTCTGGAAACGTCGTAGCAGCCTGTTCGGGTACTATCCTGGTCGCAATGCCGCACCACATGTTTCATTCTCTAGTGGAAATACCTGAGACAATAGGTGGGCTACATTTTAGTCGGATTTGGGATGTATTTTCAGTTCGTTTAAACCATTCTTTTCGCCAATTTGAGAATCCTAGATTATATCCCATTAGATTCCCCAATGCACTCAACCGCCATTCAGACATTTAAGGGAAAGAAAACTCACAATCATGCCATCCCAGCCAAACCACGACAGAAACCAAGCCAGATACGTTTGACTGCCATGCCACAGGGTCCAGCGGGGCTCGGGCTTCAGCAGGTCGCGCACAACGCCCTTGGCGTAGTCGTCCACATCGTCGCGCTTGACATTGTGTATGAACTCTCTGCTCTCAATCTTGTGCGCGATCGGGGTGTAGTAGCTGTCGGCCGGCAGCTCCACAGGCGCATTCTCGTAAAGCTTGGTCTTTACACCGCCAGTGACTACTGTCACGAAACGCACGCCCAGGGGCTTGAGCTCGACACGAAGTGTGTGTGCCATCTTGTGGGCAGTGCCGTGTTAGCTTCCGTCTCTCCTTTTGATATGAGACGGAGTAGTTTTGAAGGAGATTCAAGATGGTTGTAAGCTCGGTATGAATCACGTCATCCCAGAGGAAACCGAGCATAGTTTTTGGAATGTACAAGGCTTGAGACTATTGGAGTATAGTCCGGACCAAGTGATCGCATATTTATATCACTCACTGCGTGAATTGCGGCCTTGGACGCATTATAGGCCGACTGAAACGGCAGGCAAAAGACCTCCTGTACACTCCCGATATTGGCCACCAAGCCCCGGGCCTGGATCAAAAGCGGTAGAAACGCGTGCGTCACCACAAATACGGCCGTGATATTGGTATCGATAACGCGCCGGAAATCATCCGCCTTAGAATCCGTAAAAGGCATGAAATGATGGACGCCGGCATTGTTGATGAGATAGTCGAGCGAGCCCCCCGTGGCGGCCCCGACCTGCGCCACGGCCGCGGCAATGGACGCGTCCGAGGTCACGTCCATGGCCACGGTCTCGACGCCCAGCGCCCGGAGCGACTGCATCTTTTCGACGTTGCGGGCCGTGGCAAAGACACGGCAGCCCTGGGCGTGGAACTCGGCGGCCAGGGCGGCTCCGATGCCCCCGTCGCTGCACCCCGTGATCAGAACAGTCTTTGGCGCCATCTCTTTTCGTTCTTGTAATAATGGGATCGGTTCTCAAAAGTGATGACAATAGTAAAATATTTAAAAAGACAATGGCTGCGGCCCGGAATGAACGGGAGCAATCAGAAACTCTTGAGTTGTGTACAATGACAATAGCACTTGGTCACTCAGTGGGGGCGGCTAGGGTTGAACCTCGGTTCAGTTCAGAAAAAAAGGGATGAAGCTCAAGATCGTCGACGAGGAAATAAAGCTTTTGCCCAGTAGAGATCTTTCAATGATGGAATAATCTTTACTTCTTGTTGCTATATGTGTGACTGCTGCCGTTTGTCGTTCTGAAAAGATCGAGTAGCATGCAATCATGCTAGCGTCGGATCCCCGGCTGCTACCTTTGAAACGCACTTATATGGGCAGCATGACCAACCCTCCCATACTATCGAGAGTCACTGGAGATCGATCTCATTGTTGCAACAATACTGCATGTACAGAGCTGTCGGCAGAATGGCAATGAAATATAATGTCGAGCACAGCTGATTTTCGCATATTCTTATCTCATCACAGCTTGCCAGGTAGTGTATAATGCTTCGAATTTCTCATGGTCAGAGATAGAGTATCTGGTCGTTATATGAATTCAATAAGCTTGAATTATTGATAGCACTTCAAGTCCCCGACTCCGACTCATCTTGGTCACCTTTGATTGTTTGTTGAGCTCCTTGATTTGTCTTTTGATCGACAGACCTAAAAGCCGCGGAACCTTCGTCTTTCGAAAGGTTATGGGTGTTTGCATCATTGACATAAAGTTTTAGGCCCTTGCTTCTCTGTCGCAGAGTCATCAACCCAATGTTGCTTCTGCTGAAACAATAGCGTTTGATCTCCCCAACTCCACCAGCCTGCGGTCAAATTCCTGGAGAACACCTCCAAGCCCAAATAGCCATTGGGAAGGAAATCTTCCAAGAGCATGCGGATATTTGGTTTTCGGGAATGCAAATCGGGTACAGCGAAGACGACCTTGCGTTCTGGCTGCAGTTTCTGAGAGCTGCCTCTCCGCTTAGCAAACAGCAGGCGTTCCCAAGGTTTTCTCCAAGTCGATCCAAAGTCCACAATCGGTTCCCCGTTGCTGGTAACCTTGACCCAAATCCATTCGCCGATGGGCTCTACATTCCATTGGTCGAACAAGCCACCGGGGGACTTGAGTAAATCAATCACTGCTGGTTTATTAGTAACCCATACGGCTACAATGCCTTCGAGCTTGAGATGGCTAGCGATCGGTATCAGGCTCAGGAGGTCATGCATCTCCGTCATATCATAGGTGGTGCTGTAGCTATTCTTCTTCTTCCGGCGGACGGATCTACTTGGCCATGGTGGATCTAGAACTACTATGTCAAATTGGGGTGCTGTCTTGAGAAAAGAGTCTCTCTGACTCTCAATTGAACCCAAGAGGTACTTGCTATCGGCCGGAATGTAATTGAACTCGGGCGAATCACCATGATGCAGCTCCGTAGCGCATAGCTTCCTCTTTTGCGGCACCGCAGGAGCCTCTGTGTTGTGTTGAATAGTGGTCTGGTCAGGGAGCGGCGCACAGGTTCGCGGCAAGTGCCAATCTCCATGATACGTGTCCCGTATCGCCTTATGCGCATGTCGAACGGTTTCACAGGCCATGAGCTCATCAATGAGGGCAGATGCCGATTGAGACATGTTCGGCTCCTGCGACGACTTGGACGACACCTGGTTTTGCCATGGCTTGGCCAGTGGCTGGCAAGACAGGAGCCGACGATTGGATGGCGTTGTTTGTCCCTTGGGCAGTTGTGCAAGTTCAATAGAGCGTGGTATGTCGACCAAGACAATTGATTTGTCGGAATTGGAGAAGAGAAGACAGGACGACATGATGGTGCAATGAACCGAACTTGCCTGTGCTATGGTAGCGATCGGCACCACGAACTGTGATCGTCGCCGGGTAAGGCTCTCAGGGTGGTCACAGTGTTATACAGTGGTGATTGTAAAATATTGAATCGGTTGTGACTGTCCTGGCGTGCCTGGACTGATCTTGGCTGGCCGACTGTGAGACGTCCACACTGTGCCGTATATCCCCGTAGCTGCTTCTGCCATTTGCTGTCTGGGGGGGAAAGCTTCCAAGCAGGATTGTGATGTAAGATCCGGATAAAATGGCAGGATCTGACTAGGGGAGAAATTATCAGATTGGCGGGGACCCACGTCGCACCATGACAACCCAGGTGTTCGGGTCGCTTTTGCCCACGGCAGCTCCTTTGGATTTGACAGCCTGGGAGTCAGATCTGAATCTTGAAAATGCAACATCCAAGTGACGCACCCTTTTGCACTGCTTTGTTGGCAAAATGCAACGGTCGGTTCTCGGAAGTCAATTGACTGACTGGCTGACGGGAGAGTCAATATGACTTTTCCGAATCCGGTTAGCAAGAGAAAAAGAGAGGCGCACTGATAAAGAACACATTTTGTTGGTGCACCCACTGAAGGGGAGAAAAAAGCCACTTTCGTGATATCATGTCCAATTCGGCAGCGGCAATAAATGAGGCAGCCAAACAGTTCGCCGCTCGCCCCACGTCCGAATTGTGTTCTCCTTCGGGCTCGTAGCTGGATTCAGCAGCCTGGTGACGAGGGGTCTTCCTTGGTATCGGCCAATGGTGCTAACCAAAATGGTCCCCATACCCTCCAGTATTCAAGCCTCAACGTAACCTTTTAAGCTTATAAGCTCACAACTTGCAGTGTAAATGGCGCAAGAAATGAGACCGAGATGCAAGGTTCAACACCAAAGATTTCCGCCGAGGAGTCGAGCAAGAGAGGAAAATGAAAGATGACAATTGAGCAATGTGTAGATACTTATTATGAATTATTTTTGGCTTTAGGAACTGGGTAGAGGAACACTCGTATCTTGTAAGCGCGCGTCTGTATGTCCTGTATCGTGCACTAAAACATGCCCGTCGAACCGTTGCGAATTAAAAGGGGGTCGTCTACTAGTGACAAAGCTAGCGGGGACAAACTCATTCGCTAAGAGTGCCTCTGATGTCAAGTCGCAGTTAGAACATCTGGGCCAGGGGTTAAGCAGCCGACGGGGGTCCCAGACCTTCTGATTCCAGGTTTTGCCCAACCCCAGAAGAGATGGTAATCGCAGATGCACCAATTAAATTGTCGCCTTGCCCCTAGAGACGCTCCGACAAAATCCACCCAGAATACGCCGCGTTTCATAGACGCTGCCTCTTTTCCCAATCAATATTTTCTTCCCCGGTCTTGTGCTTTGTTGCTGGTCGTTATCTGCTTCCTTTCTTTTTGTTTGGTTCGGCTTGACCCGCTTCTTGGGCGGACGGGACGATTCATCATTGCTTGCGCCCCTCGATTCCAGGTTCGGCTTGCTGTGCCGTGTAGAGCCACCTAGTGTACCTGCTACGCTACAAACAGTCTTTTCCCCCCAGACCAATGCCATGACTCCATTATTATCTAGCATCGTCTGAATCACCAACCTACGTCCAAACTGTCCACCCATTCACTCTTTCCTGGACAGAATCCTCCTTATTCAGAGCGCTACTCCGATACGACTTGAGCATGAAGAGAAACGACTCTATTTAATTTTTCTCCCTCTTCTTCTCTTCACATGCTCTACGGAGTACTGCTCTCGATATCAACCTACCCCGTACCTACCTAATTCGTCCAGCTGAACCACGCAAGCAACGTCGCCCTATTCTTGAGAAATTTTCGATTGGGCGGTACCAGTCCCATACAAAGAGGCGATCTACGACGACATCACCTGGTGGAATCGCCCGAATCAACACAATCTGCGATTACGCCAAGGACCAGTTCCTAAGTCTGCTGCACTTTATCGGTATACCAAAGGCAGAAATCGGTGCTCCAAGTCGGCGTGCCGGCAACGACATCCAGCACCATGTCGACCTCACTCAACACAACGGACCCTAGTGCGGGCACTGCTGAGAAGTCCGAAGGCATTAGTTTGGTCGCCTTTTGTACATCTCTGGCGGCTGCTTCTATATCTTTCGGCGTCCAGACAGCTCTGTTCCTGCTTTTGCGGCAAAAGTTGGCCAGAATTTTGTAAGTGCCATTGCGCATATGGCACAATTCCTTGGCATTGTAAACATGATGTGCTAACTATACACAATAGCAAGCCCAAGACTTATCTCGTACCCGAACGCGAACGGACGGATCCGCCACCAGAAAGTCCATGGGGTCTAGTAAATGCGCTCATGCGCTTCAAAGACCGGGAGATTATGAACAAGTGCGGCCTCGATGCCTACTTCTTTCTGCGCTACTTACAGACATTATTGATCATCTTTATTCCCATGGCTGTCATCATCATTCCTATTCTGATCCCGATCAACTACGTTGGCGGCATTGGCCAGGATGTTACAATCAACACTACCGACACCGATAACTCTAACAATGCAAACGTTACCGGACTGGACACACTTGCTTGGGGCAATGTGCGATCGACTAAGACTCACCGCTACTGGGCTCATCTCATCTTGGCCGTTATGGTCATTCTTTGGGTGTGCGGCGTGTTTTTCGCCGAGATGCGAGTCTTCATCAAGATCCGCCAGGACTGGCTCACAACAGCCGAACATCGTCTACGGGCTTCGGCAACGACTGTCCTGGTTAGCTCCATCCCAGACAAGTGGATTTCCGAGGAAGCTCTGCGAGGTCTATTCGACGTGTTTCCTGGCGGCATTCGAAACATTTTCCTCACACGTGACTTGACGCCGCTGCTGGAGAAAATCAAGCAGCGTGACAAGATTCACAAAAAGCTTGAAGGTGCTGAAACAGAGCTGATCCGTGAGTGCAAAAAGAACCAGCTCAAGAAAAGAGAGGCCGAGGAAAAGAAAGCGCGAAGAGAGACCAAGACCAAGAGACCGACCAAGGTGGAGAAGGCACAACGACAACAAGCAGAAGATGCTGCTGCCAAGCTGCAAGCCGAGAGTGGTGCTGGCGCCAGTAGCGGCGATCACCACGAGGTTCCTCACGATATCCACCAAGGACTAGAAGAAGCACACGAGATTGAAGAGCAGAGCGGTGAACATCACGATGCCAACGAGGGCCGTCCATCTCGCGACGAAGGTGGTATTCTGGGCATCCCGGTCTTGGGCACCGGACTATCTAAGTTGACACACGGTTTTGGCCGAGGAGCTGATGCTGTGGGCAGGACGGGGCAGGGAATCTTGGGCGGTGCCAGAAATGTCGCTGGTCAGCTTGACCATCAGATTGAGACGACGAATGGCTTTGTGACGACGATAGCACCATTCAGGCCTTCAAACGACCGCCGCCATGTTAGACTCCCTAGTGGCGAGGACTATCCCCGGCCATCTACTGCTTACTCTGAAACGCACAGAGACATGTACAATGCGCCCACCAACACAACCGCTTCGGCGCCCCTTACGCATTCGCGAAACGTGTCGGTCAACTCTCAGGGAAATGCTACCAACAAGGACAGTATCGAGATGAGGAATTTTGGCAACACGACTCGAAAGGCTAGCAACCTGGACGACATGTATATCAATGAGAAAGCTCGATGGTTTCAGTTCTGGAAGCCTCCATCTGGCGGGTTCGCTTCGCCCATCCCCCAGCGTGCCGATGATGTCGAGTTTCCTTTTGAGGAAAAGTCTGGCTGGCAAAAATTCAAAGATTCCCTTCCTTTCATCGGAAAAAAGGATGAGGAAGAACCGTATGAATATGCCAAGGCGTACGACGACGAGTTCAAAGACGATGGCGGCGAGGGCCAGCCTGAGTGGGAGAAGTGGATGAAGAAAAAGGATCGACCGACTCATCGTCTGGCAAGATTCGACTGGACACCCGATTTTCTTCCAGGGCTTCCCTTCATAAGCAAAAAGGTGGACACCATTTATTGGTGCAGAGAGGAGCTAGCCCGACTGAACCTTGAGATCGAGGAGGACCAAAAGCACCCGGAGCGTTTCCCCTTGATGAGATCTGCCTTTATTCAGTTCAATCACCAGGTTGCTGCTCACATGGCCTGCCAAAGTGTGATCCATCACGTACCTCGCCAGATGGCCCCACGAACAGTCGAAATCTCGCCAAACGACGTTATCTGGGATAACATGGCCATGAGTTGGTGGTCCGAATGGCTCCGCACTGCTGTTGTTATTGTTGTTGTCGCTGGCATGATCATTCTCTGGGCAATTCCTGTCTCGTTCACCTCGACAATCTCGCAGATCGACTCGCTGATCGACACGTATCCTTGGCTCGGTTTTTTGAAGGATAATGAAGTTGTGTACAAGGCTGTTCAGGCTCTTGCCGGTGTTCTTCCCGCCGTTCTGCTGGCTGTTCTACTTCTCCTTGTTCCCATCATCATGGATCTGCTCGCAGGCTTTAAAGGAGCCAAGACCGGATCCCAAAAGACGGAAACAGTGCAGCTCTTCTACTTTCCTTTCCTGATTGTCCAGGTCTTCTTTGTGGTTTCACTGGCGTCTAGCATTACGAATGTTTTAGGCGACTTGGCCCAAGACCCAGGCAGCATTGCAGATGTTCTGGCCACGTCGCTACCGAAGGCGGCCAACTATTTCTTCTCATACATGATTCTGCAGGCTCTGAGTACAAGCGCGGGTACCTTGCTGCAGGTTGGCGCCCTCATCAACTGGTACATCATTGCCAAGATTACCAATAACACTGCACGGAACAAGTGGACCACAAACACGAAACTTCCAAGTGTCAAATGGGGCTCGTTCTTCCCTGTCTACACCAACTTTGCTTGCATTGGTCTCATTTATTCGGTTATAGCACCGTTGATCTCGATATTCGCAATTATCACGTTTAGTTTGCTGTGGATTGCTCATCGATACACCATGCTGTACGTCAACCGGCTGACAGTTGATACTGGTGGCGTTCTGTACCCACGAGCGCTCAACCAAACATTCACTGGGCTCTACGTCATGGAGATTTGCCTCATTGGATTGTTCTTCATAGTACAGGACGAATTCGGCAAATTGGCGTGCACGCCACAAGCAATTATCATGATTGTGGTGACAATCTTGACAGCCCTTTACCAGTATCTACTCAACTACTCATTCGGCCCGCTTTTCCGTTACTTGCCCATCACATTTGAGGACGAAGCTGTCCTTCGAGATGAGGCATTCCAACGAGCACAAGACCGTCGTTTGGGATTGATCGAAGAAAGCGAAGATGGCGAGGTATCCGACAAGGAGAGACTGGCAGCTCATCCTCATCGTGGTAGCCTCCATCAAAACGGCATGGATGGAGCAGGAGAGAAGCACCGCAAGGGTAATAAGTTTACAAACTTTGCGCCTGTGAAGGGTCTTACGCACGCAGGATCACTGGCCATAAGAGGCACCAAAGTGATCAAGGATCAAACCTATGGCAGAGCTGAGCAAAGCGTCAAAACTGCGACCAAATACAGAGAAGAACGCCGGAAGAAGGATTTGGAAGCTCAACGCGCGATTGGCGAAGCGCTCTATGGTGGTTACCACGACGAAATCGAGGATTTGACCCCAGAAGAGAGAGATGTGCTTGTACAGCACGCATTCAAGCACGAAGCTCTTCGTGCTCGCCGTCCTACTGTCTGGATTCCAATGGACGATCTGGGCATCAGCGAGGATGAGATCAATCGCACGAATCAATTCAGCGACCACATCTGGATCTCGAATGAGGGTACTGCTCTGGACAGCAAGGTCCGCGTGGTGTACGGCAGAGCGCCACCCGACTTTAGCGAGCTGGACCTGATCAACCTGTAGATAAATTCAGCCCAAGAAACGGGGCAAGCCAGCACAAACAACGAACTTTAGAAGATCAGAGTCTGGTTGGGTAGACCGATTGTATATATGTATGATACGACTAGTACGATGCACATACGGAGTTTGGGGGAAGCGACCAAGAATACATGTTTCCATCACTTGCTTTTTTTTTTTTTTTTTTGGCCTTGCTGCTGCATATGGCGATCTGTATGAACCAATGAGTTGCGGCGGCGTCCACAAACCAACAGCAATCAGAAATATACAAAATAATTATATCGTCTCTCCTGTCTGTAGATCTACAGTGATAAGATAATAAGTGTGCTGACATGGACAAACTCCGTACACCCGAGACTGTTACTCATACTTGATGTGAAGAGCTGTACCAGAGTCCATCTACTGTCCTATGGCAAGCATTCCCGTCTCCCCCCGGTGATTCATTTCGATATAGTATCGGCTGTAATTCCTAAGGCTGAGCTAGTTGATCCTTAAAACATGTACTACTCTGAACTAGCTCTGTAGGATCAGCGCTTCTCTTGCCCAGATGCCATTGTGCGCCATCGGCAAAGCAAGTGGTACTCGTTAGAGTCGAGTTGAGACAAGACATACTTTACAAGCAGAATCAAATCTGCATCAACGTTTGCCCTGTTGCGAATGCTTGAATCTAGAAAACTCCCCTAGAGCCTCTTGTATATGTGCCTCCATATCCAGAAACAAAATGAAGTTCCAACGTGTGGAGATTCGTGATCTTATGTCGGCAGCGTCGAGGCCAAACTGGCCGCAAAAGAGTCGACCCGTATCACGGCTCGTGTCTACGACTTTTTGGCACCGCGGGCGGCGTATGGCGTCGTAGGCTTGGAATGCTGCGGCAATGTCGTCGGGAGAGGTGATGTTGGCAATGAGCTTGCCGAGAACCATGGCATCCTCGAGGGCCATGCCTGCTCCGGCGCCCATCCAGGGGGTCGAAGCGTGTGCTGCATCGCCCATGAGACAGACACGATCGTTGGCGTAGGTAGGCGTTATTTTGTGCTCCCATTGTGCGTACCTGTGGGTGTTGGACTCGCCCACTGTGAGCTGGTCCGACGGGGTTAGCATTTGCATAATGAAGAAAGACGCCAGAGGGACAAACATCTATGATTCCGCCAGCAATTGGCCCATCTAGCCAGGCATGAAGGGTCTCTGTCAAATTCTCCCGGGTCAAGACTCTCTTCCTGGAATCAGAGCGAGGCTCATCTTTGTCAATGGCGGATACTATACACTGAACCATGGTTCTGCCTTCTAGTACATCATGCATAACCATTGCACCATCACCGAGCCAGGAGTACCTTCGATCCTCACTGAAGAGCTCCTCGCCCAGCACGGCCTTTGCCTTCTCAAAGGGGACCAAGCTGCGACAATCCCAGAACCCGGCGGGTGATGCCTCGTAGTCTTCTGGCCAGGCGGCGTCTCGAAGAACATGGCGTCGTACGGAACTGAAAATCCCGTCGGCGCCAATCACGGCGTCAAATTCGTACTGGGTGTCATCTTTGAATACGAGTTCCAGGTTACTGCGATTATCAGGGGCGGTCTTGGAGTTGATGGCCACCAGTTGTTTGTTGGGATGGAGAATCTCGCCCGGCAAGGGGGCCAGGAGCTCGCGAAGAAGCGAGGCGCGGTGGACGCTTACCCCGGACTTCAAGTCAAAGATGACGGTGCCGGCATCTTTACCTGATCCCTGGTGAACAGTCAGATTCAACACTTGTGATTTTTTCACATTACTAGAACCGCCATGATGACACTCACCAAGATGGTTCGAGTCGAGCTCATGGGGACTGCGCCCGCCTTGTCGAGCATTTCCTTGTAGTCGGGCAGGATCTGATTGAGGGCCGCTTGCGCATTGGCATTGATACCGACCGCAGCGCCGCGCTCGGAGAATGCAGGTGCCGACTCAAAGACGTGGACGTCTACATGTGGCAGCCGGAACAAGGCGTTGGCCGCCGTGGCACCGGCCAATCCACCTCCGATTATGGCGATGCGGATACGTTGGGTTTCCATCTTTTGGGGTATGAAAGGAAGCAACAGTAATCTGCTGGATAGCTTGAAATGCAATTGCCGCGATACTCCAATGCGATGTGAAATAGATGCAACTTGAAGAAAACAGTGGCTTTATATTAACTTTTAATTAAAACTTGAACGAGTTTAGACCCTGTTTGGCTCCCGGTGGAGATGAAGTAGGTGAAGAGAACAATTTACTTTCCTGGGTACCGCAACATTCACTATAGGAGCCCCGCAGCAATGCAGTGCACCGTAGAATCGCCCCCAACACAAAAACTGCCCCCACGGTGACAAATATAGTATCAGTAGGAATAGGCTACATCTGAGATGAGCTCTTGGGGCCAATCAGCAACACCCAAGAATTATAGTCTCCATGTCTTCGGGTCCGAGCGAAAGAAATACTTTTAATTCATCGATTGGCCGACTGGTCCTTTCTGAGTGACGTGATGACGGAAGTTTTGCAAGTCCGGAGCAATGATTTTTAAATTTCGGATTATATGACTTGGACTCTCCTAAATTACTTCTCCATGAAATTATGCAAACAGACACAGGTAATGCGTGTGGATGCATGCTAGAACGAATTATATACACGACCATCACAACGTCAAATGAACCATTATGATTACGCCTACTTCAAGAGTACCATCCATTCCAGATAGGATTATTCAATTTAATCTGTCTCCAACTTAGTATACGGATTGAGTAGAAAATGGGGGAAATGAAAATACAATAAACTTACGTAGGATGAATTGATGCTATGCACATCATTGAGTCCCATATTAGAGCAGTCAATAGCAATCTCATGCTTGAGCATTTGCAGCGCTTTTTTGACACCGTCGACGCCGTAAATGTTGGCAAAGGCAAAGGGCCGGGCGGCACCCACGGCCTTGACGCCCAGAGCCATGAGTTTCAAAACGTCGGATCCATAGCGCACACCGCCGTCGGCAAACACGTCAATCTGCTGAAAGATGTCGGGGGATTCCTCGTGGATTTCCAGGGCCACCTCGAGAGAAGACGGGACGTGGTCGAGCTGCCGGGCGCCGTGGTTGGACAGGAAAATGGCGGGGGCCCCGTAGGCGATGGCCAACTTGGCGTCCTCGACCGTTTGGATGCCTTTGGGAATAATGGGGAGACTTGTCAGGTTTTGGAGATGCTTGTAGTAGTCCCACGTGGCGTAGGTGTAGCCAGAATCAGACGACGTGACGCTCCAGCGGGCAGCTCGGTGACGATTCCCATCGCCTGCCGAGTCCACCGTGAAGAAGATGGCTTTGCCGCCGGCCGCCTCGACCTGTTGAAAGTATGCCAGTGTGTCCTCGTCGGTGCCCTCGTTGTAGAATTGATGTCCCGTGATCTGGCCCTCGGCTTTGGCTGATGCAATCTCGTCCAATGTCTTTGTGGCATGCATGGAAGCGACGTAAAGAATATTCTCCTCTGCGGCAGCCTTGACCAGATTGAGCTCTGCATCAGCATGAGCATATCCTGCACGACCAAAGGGGCTCATGAAGAAAGGGGCAGAAAAGGTGTGACCAAAGAGGGTCGTGTTCATGTTTTGCTCAATCTGTGTGATATCGGTCAAAACACGGGGACGGAATCTCAACCGACCGTAGCTCTCGAGGTTGTTGCGATACGACCATTCTCCACCCGCGCCAGCCCGGTAGAAGGCCCAGCTGGACTCGTTGAGGTTCCTCTCGGCGACCCATTCAAAATCATTCAAGGCCTTCATCTCTGACAGGTCTGGCAGAGTGCCATTGGGGACACCAGATAAAGCGACATCAATGCCAGTATCTGCATAACTCAGGAATGGACGGGCACCGAAAGCCACAGTTGCCAAAGACAGAAGAGCAAAAAGAGACGACATTGATAATTTTTGCTGGTGCTGCATGCATTTGTGCCGTGTCATGTCTAACATACTGCAGATTGTCCTGCATTTATATCCCAACAGAGTCCATTTGGTCTGTCTTAGTTCGGTATCGTCAACCGTGTGAGTGCGGAGTAATGAACCAAGCAGGAATAAAATTGAATAGATCGAACCCACAGCAATGAGACAGCCAAGATACTTGGCGCCTTGAGGGATTATATCTAGCTATCAGGGATTTCTGGATTGTGCCCCATAGGTATCGAGCTAGAGTATAGAAAGGAAGTGTCGCTCATAATGCTATGCTTTACCCCCTTCACTTAGGTACGTCCAGATACAAACATCCACAAAGATAAACAGGCGGAATCAGAACAGAGAAATCAGAATTTAAGCAAAGACAAAGGATACTGTATAAACGCAATGTTGTAGCCGGTAGGCTTTATGTGTTCTATAGCTGCTTAACCGCAGGGGAAGCCTGTGGTATCACGAGAGCTCCCTGTTAGCAAGCTTCAAGGTGATCAGACTTGCCGGTTTTAATGGCCCACCTAAGCCAGCGGCAACTACTCTCGGTACATGCTTTAAGCTTAAGGGAAATTACAATAGGTAAACTGGTGGATCCGGGACCAGGTGATATTCCTGCAGTGGTGGCATGAGTAAACTTTTTACATGCCTGCTGAATACTAGCCTAGACCGCAGGAGCAAGAATTCATCTACTCAGGCATAAGGATCTCATGTGAGAGAACTTGAAAGGGAACACAATATTTGCACAAGTTAACTCGTGCGATTATCATCAGGGAATAATGTGGTTCTATTGTCTACTTGATGTCTGTAATCTAGTTCTATACCAAAGTGACTCTCTGCACCAGAAACCAAGTTAGAAAATGGAATAGATTGTAGGGAATCATCAAATGCACAGATCGCGCCAAGTTCCACGCCTAGTTACACGTTGATCAACTTGCTGCCCTTGTTTGCCAGTTCCGCAGAACACTCCGCACAAATTTCCACCTATTATGACTCCATCGATGACGAATCGAGACCATGGTCTGTCTAGTTGATCAATCTTCGGGGGTGGATGCATGATTGATGGAAGAATTCGGACTGCTGTCTCTCCTCTCTCCTCTATCTGTTCGATCATGCGGTCAATACTTTCTTGAAAAGTTTGCGACTTCATGAATTAGACAAGACGTGTTAAACAGTTGACACCCGCTCGAGGCTATTAATGGGATAATCTGGCTGATGTTGTTGGAACAAGTAGATCATTGGCCACAGTTCTCCGTATCGTTGAAGCTGCAAAATCCCTTCTGTCGCTAGCATGGGAGCCAAGACGGTCATAATACGGTGCCGGCAGCTCGCGGGAACACGCCGAGTAGATGTGGACCTCGGCGACAAGCCGAGAGCGGAGCACGGCGACGTACCGGCATATAGCGGAATACCTTCTCCAATATAACATCTTCTGGTCCAATCGCCTCACAATTGTGGTCGATTGCCAAGTCGCCGGAAATGAGCCGATGAGAAACATGATGCGCTTTGACAGATAAATAAGGTCTAGAACGTCGGATCAGGAAAGGGGTGGCTGCGTTACGCCCGGGTTGGATAATGCTCATGACCCTTGAGAGGAACATGAAAGCCGGCCATATCCCTGAAGAAAAACGCAGGTCCTATCAAGCATCCAAGTTTCAGTAATTCATCATAACTTTGGATCTTCAGTATGAGTTTTACTCCTTGGCCTATGGTTATAGATCTCCTCGGTTGGCTCTGGTGTGATCATTTCGTCCTTGACTGCACAAAATTCTTGGGGCCTTGATTATCGTACACCATGGAAAAGCCGCGGTGATTCAATTGAATGGAAGCTTCCCGAGAAGAGGAAGTGACTGACAACGACCTCAAGAATGATAATGTCGTACCAAGGCCGAAAGATTTGTTGGTCAGTTATACCTGTTCGACAATCAATAGAGCAGAGCGATCTGGATTAGGGAAAATTAAAATGGATATAAGCCTTCTCTCTCTCTCTCT